CCACTAATAAAAAACATACCTGTCTGAAATAGGCTTCTTAAAGACACCAGTCACAAAAACGGGAAATCAATTTAATTAAAATTGCAACTTTATTTATGCTAACATGGAGAAAAACAGTAAAAACAAAAATTTCAATAACAGTGTCAGTTTTGAACACTTTTAATTGAATTTTTTTTTGAAAACAGCTTATCAAAATGTGTATCATTGTAAGTAATTGTTCACAATAAACAATCTGGTATGTGTCCAAAGGGTTAAAAAATAAAACTATGTGAAGTTTTGAAGCACATCCAGCAAACTCCAGTCAAAAAAAATTTATTTACACTAATAAATAAAATTAGAGCAAGCATGAAGAAGATGGGGGCTCTGATCTGAAAAAAATTATTAAGTCTTAAGACACAGATTGTGTGGCTGAAAACTTTAAGAACACACCGACTTCATAGTGAAGCATGGTGGTTGGTATTGATGGGGAAAAAGTTGAAGCTACATACAGAGCAATGGTGGAAAAAATAGACCCAAGACAGGACAGAGGTTCAACTTCCAGCAGGATGAGACCCTAAACACAGTGGAATCAGTGGAAAGTTTTAATTCAAAGCAGATACATGTGTTAGAATGGCCCAGTCAAAGTTTAGATCTAAATCAAATAGAACATCTGCAGCAATAAGTGATGTTCAAAAATGCTCTTCATAAAACTCTAATGAGTTGAATTTATTTTGAAAAGCAAATGGAGTAGTAATTTCAGTAGATGTGCAAAGCTGGTAGACACATCCCAAATGACTATTTGCAGCAAAAAGTGGTTCCACAAAGTCAAAACTGAGGGAGAGCAGAGTAAAATTGTATAGCAATTTTTTTTTTAAATTGCAAAATAAGTTTGCAATCACACATCTTCTCTGTTGAGCAGAGAAAATTGTTGCGCTTGTAGCAAAAAAAAAAAAAAAAAAAGTGTAGAAGGGCAAAGTGTTATGAATATTTCTGAAGGGCACTGTATGCTGCACCGCTCTGGAGATTGAAACTATGAAGACCCCAAAGCCAGTGTCAGGGAGTTGCTGTCTGCAAGAAGCCGGCAAAACTCCACACTTTCCAATTAGAAAGACATAAGCAGGGGATCCACGCAAAGCTCACCGCACTGCTGGGACAAGAAACAGCTAAATCACATCATTAGTTAGATTGCATAATGGGACCACCAACCTGCCCTGCATCCCCCTTGATACAGAGCAAATTGGAAGTTTACACCGGCTAGACTCTTATGTTGCCCCACTGTGGCTTTGAGTGGGGTCATTATACCAAAATGAGAGCAGGTGTCTGATGCAGAGAAGAAGAAGAAGAAAATGAGAGGAGTGTGTGCATGTTTACAGTCTGTATTTCCCAGCAGCAGTGGTGGTCAGACCTCTTCCTGGCACTGATATTCCTGAGGGGGGGATGAACATGCAGACAGTCTCTGCTCCTCTACCTGCATGGCTCAAATGCACCAGCACTGCAAGTCATGTGTCCACGGGCAGCTGCATGACCCGGGTCTGGATTAGCGCTTCAGTGGTTGCTGGGGTGTCAACTAGTGCATAAAAGTTATATAACTCTAGCAGAACAGCAGCCCAAGTTAGCTTTCCAGGCTAACAAGTTCACCCGTGAACTCACCTCGGTCTTGGTTATGCGGTGTCTGGCCAGCTTCACGACAGCGAAATTGCCTTTTCCTAAAGTGCGCTCGATGTCGTAGAAGCCCACTCGGACCGGACCCCGGAGCAGCGGTTTTTGGACACTGTCGGCCATGACCATGCTGTTCTAAATGGGACTGCTTGTTGGAAGGAGGTGGAGGGGGGGGGACTCAGACAGGCTCGAGCAGCTAGAGATAAAGACGAGAGGAAAACAAACCGCCCCTCGCCGCCGCCGCCGCTTCCATCGCCGCCCGAAGCGCGTCCATTAAAAAGAGACAAAGTTGATTTCTGCGTCGCCCCTACCGGCTTCACAAAAAAGAAAGAAAGAAAAAAAAAAAAGCCGCCAATGTGGCGCTAACTCTCCTTCATACGCGGCGAGCCATTCGCCGAACCCACAGGGTACAATAGAGCGATAATATTTCAGGTTGAGGTGCCTCTATCAGCGACAGAGCACACGAGTTGACTCGCTGAGAGGCATCATATTCTCGAGTTGACGTACATTGACGTCAAAGCCATGGGGGTATTTGTACAGGGGGCGGGGCCACAGAGCGGCTCCACACTTCAGTGCCAATTGGTCGTCAAGACAACCAGACCCACCTCTTACGTCAGCCGGTAAAATTGCTATTCTGAAATCTGTTTGCTCGCCTGCCCTTCTTGATTGCACGCATAGGTAACTTTGAAGTTCCGCCCCGCAGGTGCTTAGCAAGCACTGCGGCTAAAAATGCACGAAGAGAAGATTCCACATCACTTCCTCTTACTTGGTCAGAGAAATTACTCAGCAAAACTAAATGGGAAATAAATGAACAGGCACATTTGTGCACAGACACATTTTCGCTGCTTTGCACAAGCTGTGATTAAAATGCATCTAAAACAATGCTTTTACAAAAGCATTTGAAGCATTTATCAAAGGGAGTTATTTGAGCAAAGAAGACACTTTGTTCACCTACATCACAGCGACATCTTTTGGTAAAAGTATGCAACTGACAAGGACTCTCAAGAGACCTTAATTGTATAAAGCGGCTGCAGTGACAGAAAAAGATCTGTCAATACAAATGTTACAATAGAAATGCTGTTTATAATATTATAATATTTATCTGACTTTGTTATATATGTTATATATATATTTATATTTTTCGCTTGCATGATTTCTTTTCTCTCAAAAATAGAATGTCAGATGGTCTCAAATAACCCCTTTTCTGAAGGACAATTTTGTTTCAGAATTAATTTTGATTATTTTGGTTCTTTTGTTTATTTACTTGAGTATTTAAATGTCTTTTTATCTCTGAGAATGTGCTCTCTTATTATTATGCCATTACCATTTTATTACTAGAAAATGGTCTCAAAACAACAATATTATTGTTTGCCGCAATAACTTCTGGGACAATTTTTTTATGTCTGTGTAGCTACATTCATCTTTTGTTAGCCTGCATAAACACAAAATGTAGTTTCTGAAATTGTAAATACTCGGCCATGAATTATGTAAATTACCGTGGTAGAATTCTGCCCATGTTTTATTGCAAAATTACTTACGTTCAGCAATTAAACTGATTTCCGAACATGAATTCTCCATACCGGCCACAACATTTCAATCAGATTTAAGTTCACAATGTAACCAGGTCACACCAACGCCTTCATTTTGTAAACCACATTTAGTAGAATGCTCAATTTTCCTTGTGGCTCAAAGCTTTTGAAATGGCTGTGTAACATCCCAACACGGATATTTATGATTTTTGTCATCTGCTTTTAAATTTCTTGAAACCAGACATATTTAATATCTGGATTCTAAATGTGTCTATAGTCTTTCCAAATGAATGAATAAATAAATAAACACATAAATAAATGTTTGACCATAATATTTTAGGATTTACAAAGATGGGAAAATATCAAATTTCATATAGGGGCAAATAATTTAAATAGTTTATTTTTTTTCTTTTTTACTTCAATCAATTAAATCATAATTTTCAAATGTATCTTTATCTGAAAATACTTTTTTTGTTGGTGATCTGGACCATATACCAAAACTAAACAAAGGAGCTGAAATCTCTAAAGGGAAAATATTTTTTCATGGTTCAATAATATATCCATGGCCCATATTCACATCCAGGGATGTTCCCTTCATGCCATGCAGTGACAGCCTTGCAGAGCACAGCAGACTGCTGAAGCAGAAAGCCAGAGCAGTGCTCCGAAGGCCTCTGCTGTCACAAACAGACTTCCTGAATGTAAGAGTTCCAGATGTGCTTTTGGCATTTCCTGTCTAACTTTCTCCAAGAACACACTCAGCCTCTCCTTACTGGGCTCCGCTACATCTTTCCAAATCGCTAACCAAGGCAGCCCACACAGCATGTACTCAGAGGAAACACAGGCATTTATTTTCAGAAATAGGCTTTTGTGTTGTCTTTTCAAATTTACTACAGAGGAACAGATTATACAGGGTAAAACTGATGCAGCTTGTCATAACATATTGTAAACTAGACATAAAAATTTCTTTCCATCAAAAATTTTGAAAATGGATGTTTTTGGAGCCTTTTTTGTCAGTTATCTGTCATTTGTCTTTCCTCATGTCCTGTCCTGTTCCCTGACATCAGCAGCCAAACAGGAAGCTTTCTACTGTGATGACAGTTTTGATTTCATACGAAGGGGTTGAAACAGCCCCGAAATGGAAAGTTCATTTTTACAGTGCGCCACATGGATGTTTTTTATTTTCTCAATAAATGTTGCGAAACTATATACTAGTGCTCAAGAAGATTCATTTGGGATTAACCAAAGCTTTCAAGAACAGTATATTCGGGGTGACCAATGTTTATTATTATTGTATTCTTCTGATTTAGCTTCAGTGTTTAGTCTTTAGCTTTTACCTGCCATCAGTTATAGTTAATGCCAATAACTTCATATAAAGTTCTTCTGTTAAATATTTGATTTAAGAAAGGCATCAGTCAGGAGAAGGATGCAAAAGTTCTCCAGCATTCTCTTTAAACGATGGCAGAAAAGAGGCAATGGTCAACAACTGAAGAAAGTTGCAATAAAACAAAAGCTGGTTGTTTCTACAAAACTATTGAAAAGACAAGATACAGTAACCGGTCAAGGAGCCATTAAAGAGGAAAGCAGCAGCTTTTGAATGGTCTAATTAAATTTCATAAATTCATTTCACAATAGAACTGGAGATTCCTTTAATGAGAACTGCGGGCACCATGATAGACAAGGATCACTGTTTGTGTTTCTTATCATGTAAAATCTCCCCAAAATATTGAGATCATTTGTTGTAACGTCAAAAATTGCAAAAAATGTACAAGGACCGAAAAAATCCCTCTGTCATCATGTAAAAATCCATAAAACCAAAAATTACAGAAACACGTCTTTTGTTTTGATTAATATCAGCATTTATTTAATATGGTTTGACAGATATGATAACATCCTAAATATAGTGTTATAACTGACCAAAAAACATAGATGTTAAGCGACGACATATACACAAGAAATAAATTCACACTCTGAAACCAGTCCACGTAAAACCATTCAAACTCAATTGTGTATGTTGAGACTGCGTACCTTACTGGTAATCTAGCAAGATATGTAGAAAGAAAGAGATATGGACCAGTATATGTTCCTCTTTCTAGCTTAATAAGGTTCCTTTAACAATTGCAAGTTCACAGACGTTTCTGGAGCTCAGATGGACATAAACAATATTAGCCATAGATCTCATTTTCCACCCATCCATCCTGATGAATCTGACTATGGCACCGCCGACTCTGAGTTCTGGCAGTCTCATAGATATCGTTCGTCACGAAGCCGGTCTCCTTCTCTGAACACGTCACATTCTCATAATCAGGATACTGGCCGTCATGTGAGTATGGGCAGGAGTACTTTGTCATGATTTCTGCCTGCGTCCTGTAGTCCAGAGCAGCGTGAGGAAGTTTAGTGATGTCACTGAAGGCGTAAGGTCCTTGAATGGAGGAAACCGAAGATGCTGTTGGCATCGGCTGTTTCGATCTTGCAGGGAAACTCTCCGTTTCTGTTTTTCTCCTGAATATAAGTAGAAAGGATCAAATTCACGGTGAGCACGCAAATTTCAGCTGTGACACTGACCTAATAACTGATGTAAACACAGAGGTTTTCAACGTACTCTGAAAAATAATTCCTGTGATTATTGTTTTTTTTACCTTTTTGCATGCTGTCTGTAGCAAAAGAACCCAGCAGCTACTAACAGCAGCAGCAGCAGCAGCATAGCGGGAATAGTGGCATAGAGGATGTAGGAAGCGTAGAGGCTGTTGTCTGAGAAAGACACTGCAAGAAAATGCACATTATGAAGCCTCACTGCATTAAACACGCATTAAAACACAGCCTCTGAATATTCATAAGTATTACAAGTTTCTTTTAACAACTTGAAAATATAGCAGAAAGTATTTATTTTACCCGATGACTCAGGTAATCCAATAGTTATTCTGACATCCCCTTCTGTGGATATGTTTGGCCTCGGAGATGGAACTACAGAAACAACAAAGGTCACCATTGAAACAAAACTGCTAATATGTGGCATATTTTAACGGATTCACAATTATTAATGACTTGTTTTGAATGTCAGCCTTTTGTACAATTAAATTTAGCATGGCTAAATGTCCGGGTTCAATCACCAAACGACATGTGGCAAAAGATTTAGGCCTGGAGACTGAGGCATGCAGATTCAGAAGTCGTTAGAAAACTCTCACAATCTTTTCTTGGGATGCCTCCCAAACAAGGGCTAAGGGTTTGGCTTATCAACATCTAATGGTTGGTACAGAGATTTAGTTACCCAAACATATCACTTTTATTTACCATTTGAGTGATGTCCAGATAAACTCGGCGCTTTATTCAGCTTTATTGATCAGTTCCAGCTGTTTCAACTTAGTAACAAATTTATCACATGTATGTGACACAAAGAACACAAATCAAACCGTCTCAGACTTTGTCAAAAGGAGGTTTTGTATTAAACAAGAGTAATGTGTACCTGGTTCTACTATGATCCTGTCCCCTGTGAATACTGGGGTTTTCTCTGCAGAGGAAGAAGAAAATTAGTACATTTGTGACATTCTAATAAATTAAAAAAGAACGTTTAACTTTTTCCAAACATATTCATTGAGCTTTCGGGTACCATTCTAAAACAGTTTTGGCAGCTTTTTAATTTTTTTATCTTCTTCTCATGCAGATTTGTTTTTCTGATGGATTGTGCAGGATACATTTCTTAACCAATATAGAATTTGTTTTAAAAGAATTTATCATGGTCTCATTTTTTTTGTCACAAAATCTTGGTATTTTTAAAGATGTCTGAAAACTTTTTACAACCAGCGTAGGTATAAAAAATGCCTTCAAAATAGTTATATACTTTCAAAGATTGCTAAAAGGAAAGAAGTGTAATAATCATAAATAAAGCAGATATTAAAACTATAATTGTGTGCTTGCTTCTACCCAGTGAATGTGGCTAACACCTTTTATATTCTGGCAATTTTGCCAGAAAATAAAATTGATGGAGCTATGTTGGTAACAGCTCCATTAACTCACCTTCCTTGTATTTGCAGACAAAGTTGTTTTTGCAGCTGCAATTGTCATCATTCCACTTAAACAGGAAATGGCCTTCTTCGTCAGCTGGTGCAGAGGGCTGGTGGTACAACACCACACACATTTCAGAACCACATGACGGCTCATCCCAGTTCCAATTCCTGCGACAAGTAAAATGTAAACATTATCACTTAGCAGTAGTTTTCTAGTTTGATCAATTTCACAGAAGAAGTAATCAGGCGAACCTGTACTTGGCTTTGCTTCCATCGACCCAATGGTACTGCGAGGGGCATCCTGGGTTATTATTTCCTGTCCGGTGATGCGGCGGGCTACGACGGAGCCCAATCCAGAAATTGCCATCTCCAACCTTCAGCTTTTGTATGAAGCTCTCTATCAACCGCTGCTCACTCTCTGTCTCAATGCTGAGCAGCTCGCCTCCCTCTGACCTGCAGGACTGCCTGGCATCCTCAAATGTCAGCCTCCGCCTGCTGTCCTGGATGTAGGATGCCTTATAGCACGGCCGCTCCGTCCCGCGTCGGCAGATTTTCTGGCCTAAACATCAAGGTTGACAGATAAATTTATTTTTTTTATTACTATATGCCATAAAATAGCCAGGCAGCAAAAAGAGACAGCACGATCCTACACAGGCAGTGTAATATAAAAAATATAACCCTAGAGAGTGAAAAAATTGTTTCATCAATGTGAAGCAAATTTCATTTGACTTTCCTCTTCCACATTATTTAAAAGTCCTTGTGTCACCGGCATCAGAGCTTAGTTCACAATGCTGGCCTGGCAAAAGATCATTTTCGTTGGGAGTTGGACTCTGTCTTGGTCGCCCTTTGTTGCTGATCTTGTTCATAACTTCTATGGACAGAACATCTGGGTGCAGAAACAGTGTTGATCCTAAGGCCATTTCTTGGCCTTAGGATTTGGTCTCCACTTTTTGAAGACGATGTGGTCCTATTGGCTTCATCTGACCGTGGCCTACAGCTTTCGCTGGAGCAGTTCGAGTGTGAAGCGGAGGAGATGAAGATCAGGCTTCCAAATACAAGCCTATGCTCTTGAGCCGTAAAACGGTAGACTGCTTTCTGCGGGTCAGGAAGGAGGTCCTGCCCCACGTGAAGGAATTTAAGTATGTGAGGGTCATGTTCATGAATGAGGGAAAAATGGAGGATTGGTGCAGCGTCTGCAATGATGCGGCCTCTGTACCACTCTGTTGTGGTAAAGAGAGAGCTGAGTCAAAAAGCATAGCTCTCGATTTAATGGTCAATCTACATTCATTCTTACCCTAATTTATGGTCACAAGCTCTGGGTAGAAATGGAAAGAATGATATTGGAGATACAAGTGGCCAGAATGAGACCTCCGCTGCAGGCAAATCAGAGCTGCAGATGTTGTTTTGGTTTGTTTTGTGACTTCCGGTATGTGTCATTGATTCACTGTTTCTCCTTTTGTTGATAAAGACACTAATTATGGTTTTCTGAAATCCCCAAACCTTAAAAAAGGATTTATACTCTTCCTAGACAAATGTGTCTTTGTTTTTCATCTATTCTCGAAATTTATTAGATTGTGCGTCACTTTTTAAGAACTTTTAGGTTATTTCATTTTGTCGGACAAATTTTATTGAAGCAATTTGTTCATCCTGCCGGTATGACAGTAATATGAGTAATCACAATTAACTAAAGACTTATCAAGGTGGGGCAATTACTTTTTCAAATAGAGCCAAGTTGCTTTTAATAACGTTTTTTCATTCAATGAATAAAATTGTAATTTAAAAACTGCTGTTGCCTCAGATAATAAATTGGGTTAAAATTTTTCCCGGTGCAACGGATAGTACAATACATTCAAAGTTAGTGGGACGTAATGGTGACTGAAGTCCAGTTCACTCTCCAGGTTCCACGCTCAATTTGACCAAAACAGTTGACACAATAGTCAATAAAACTCTTATTGACTTCATGAGGATGTTGTCTTCATTTTGTTTAGCTGTGATTTTCAGTGAAGTATGAAACTAAACAAAACAAAACTTTCAACCCACATTTCTTGTTTACTTTCTCCATTAGTTTTTCCAACCCACTGGACGCATGAATGTTTTTCCTTTCAACTCACATTTGGGGGGAGGCTGAAGCCTAACACAGTCTCTCAAATTCATAGTACAGCTTTGTTTTGTTAAGGCGTCAGTCACGTTTGACCCAGGACAGTTTAAGCAAAAACAAACTGCTGGTTTTTAGCCCAGCAGTTTTTCAAATAAAGTTGCTTTCCCTATTAACCGGGTCACTGCGTAGAGCTGTCGATTCCATCGCGATTAATCGCAAACGATAATAATTCAGGACGGGATTTACTGCGCATTCGGTCATAAGATGCTTACTGCCTGAAAACCTAATTGCCGAATAATCACGAAGTAGACGCAGGAGTGGTTTATGTAAGCGCTTCCATGTCTGCTTATAACCAAGAGTCAGCGGTGTCCTCTGGTCAGGCTCAGTCGCGTCGCAGCAGCGACTCTCTTGACTCGGGCAGAAAAAGTTGTTTACATGCTCCAAGAGGTTTTGTGGCGTCGAGACTGTTACGAAACACGCAGTCCGACCGCTGCTCGCTCTGGACTTTTCCAGCAGCGGTTCTGCTGCTTCCAGGTCTCGTTTTCCCTTCGCCAGTCGAGTTAAACCACTAACTTCAAAGCGTTAGGAAAAAATGTTGAGACTTGCTCGATTATTTTTTTCTTTCTTTTAAAGAAAGCATCGTCTTTTATATATTTTTTCCCCACACGAAGGTCATTAAATATAAATGAAACTCGTTTCTGACTTTTTTTTCTTTTTTTTTTTTTTTTTTAGCCCTCGAAGCAAATTCTTACCATTTATTTTCGAAGCGGATCCAGGGTGAAACAAGACGGCGATAACGGTGCCAAAAAGCCTCATAAAATCCATTTCTACATGTTCACTCGATGTTCTGCCCAGCTGCTGGTCAAAAAAAAAAAAAAAAACAAACAAAAAAAAAAAAAAAACAACTGGGAGAGACTAAAACTTCACTTTCCCAACCCCCTGTTATACAAAAAGTGCAATAACGGGAATGGGAAAAGACTGGTGTGTTGAGGGAAAAAAAGAAAAAGAAAAGAAAGGGGGTCGAGTCCTGAAGGCGTGCATATGGCGTCTGATTAAAAAAAAACATAAAAAAAGAAAATTACTGAAACGCTTTTCACTATTAGTGGTTCTTTTGTGTTTAATTCTAACACGAATGCTGTTTCTTTCTTTTTTCTTTTTTTTTACTTAAAGCATTTTAATATTGAGCTGAATGGAGTTCTTTGTATCCTGTCATGTGGACTGTGTTAAAGAGAGCTACAAGTTTGTGTCCTCCCTGATTCATGCACGCGCACACACGCTCACGCGTATACAAATATGTCTGTGGAAGCAACACACTGCATGTGGACTAGATTAAAAAAAAGAAAGAAAGAAGTCTCAGTAAAATAGCATGAAAAAATAATTTCAATAGTAAGATTGTGAACGTGAGATATCTAAAATATTTTAAGAGTTGATTTCAGTTATTATTATTTTTTTTATCAAGTTTGTATGTTTTTTTTTAAAGAAAATTATACAGGATCAACAAATATGAATGTAAGTCTTTAATCACATAGTTAGTTATCCAGGTACTGGGACCTTGATTTTGAAATGCTGTGCATAATTTACTGTCTTTAAATGACTTTGAGTGAAGCAACAGTGTAATAATTTATCTCCGTGGGCCATAACCTTGGTAAGCCTCAGTGTGGTGGCTGTATAAACATTGACAGGGCTTTTTGTATAACACCTTTTCCTTCCACTCAACTTCCCAATAATATGACTGGATAAAACACTATATGTATGAATGTATTCCTTTGTTTTCTAACATGAACTCTAATCCTGTTGGACCCCAGTAATGATAGATTTGGTTCTACTAATGGAGCTTAATTTAAAAAATAAAATAAAATACTGTGTACAGGATAGCTGTGAAGTCAACAGTCTTCTCTATGACTGCATCAGTCTTAAAAATGATATTTCTGCATTAAAGTAGTTTTATTGGTCTTTTATGATACTCTGTTTTTTTTTTTTCAGGGACAAACTTTTGGGCTTTCATTGACTGAAATTTCACTTGAGGAATCAACTAACTGTAATAAATCAACATCTTTTCCGATTAAATTATGTATTGAGAAGTGCCTCTAAGTTAGTTTTGTCAATAGATTTGTTAACAAGTGGAGTAACCTTCTCGTATGTCATATTTAAATATTGTATGTATGTCACATGTAAATAGAGTCAGTTGAGAAGAAAATTACTGGAGCTTTATGGGAAGAGGACATGAGTCAAACTTCACTGCGAAAACAAAAACTTCTGGTAAAAAGATGAAAAGAAAGGACACATAGTGAGAGAAATACAGAGAGTTATAAGGATAGAAAAGAGGGATTGCCTCTGAACAGGAAAGGAAACAGAGGAGGAAGAGGACAGTATTTTTTTAGGACTTCACTTCCTGTCCATTGCTTTGGTTCAGTTTCCATTTCCAGAGTGTCGCTGACTGAAGCTTCTCTGTACACGTAACAGCAAAACATCCAAAAGAAGATTGAATAACAGCTGAAGTACTTTTCTGTACTTCATTTTTTGCTTTAGATTTTGCAACAAAATGTGTAATCTCAGTAAAACAGTCCCTCCTGCTGATGGATTAAATGTAAACATGGGTGTACTATGAAGGAGAAACGTTGGATTTGCCAACAAAGACACAGATTTGTTCTTTTTTAAAAATATGAGTAAAGATAATCTTGGCGTAATATGTTTTAAATTACATTTCCTGGAACAACAATTCAAAACACAACAAAAACAACATTCATTTCAGTCCTTTTCCTGGGAAAACCTCACTGAAATGTTTCCTGAAAAATGTAATTTTCTACTAATATGATGTGGTCAACAAAAAAATAAAAAATAAAAAAAATTCAAAAGCAACATTGGAAAATCTAAGGAATAAAATAGTTTCTGAGCTCTAAAGAAGCAGTCCTTTTTCAGGGAACTAATTTTATGGGGTCGGGGGAATAGAAGAGAAACCACAGTAGAAAAAAACTACTTTATTGTGCTCCTCTCAGGCAGAAAAAGCTAAAGCTTGCAAATTAACACCAAAGAAATAAGGACTATTTTAACAAAATAAGAACAAAATAACGATAATCTGCAGTTATAAAAATTTAAATACTCAGGTTCAAAGAACTGTGGTGATAGTTCAATAAATGTAAAAAAAAATAAAAATAAAAAAGTTCAGTCTTAATTGTGCATGAAAACAACAAACTAACAAGGAATAGAATAGTTGGAGATAAAATGTTAGAGAGATTAGACTTTAAAATACATGTTCGTTTATGAGTCACCTGTTGTCATTGACTATCAATAGCAACAATTGCAAAACCAATTTCAAAAACAGCCTGAAATTGATTTTGTTTGAGGCAGAAAGAAGAATGGGACCCTGAGTGCATTTCACGATGACGCCTCACTCTGAAAGTTATTTTTATGTCATTAAAAAAGTTCACAAAGCGAAGAAAAAGAGTCTCATAAATTTACATTTAGCTTGTGTGTGATAAGAGCATTTCAAGCATTAAGCTGTAGTTAGATTGGGAGAAATAGAGTATTTTACCCCTTTGCTACATGAGGAATATTTTTTAATTCTCTCAATTCTAGAGCAGGATATTTTTCCTTGAATTTCTCTTCAAAATGTTACTCTCACACTCATAAAATCTATAACTCCTCTCCAAATATAGCCTGACCAACTGAGTCTCGTGGTGAAATGGACAGATGTGTTTTCCACCGTGCTGCAGAATCATAATCCAAAGAACAAAAGACATTTGAGCACTTGCTAACTTGGTCCAGCAGAGGGCGCCAAACTCAACAACAACTCCCACTACCAATATGACTCGTACACATACAGAGGCTGAACTGGTGGGAATAATGCAACATCTATACATATGATATTCTCAATTTGACACAAATACTCACGCAGATAAAGAGTGACAAGGAACATTTGTCTTTGTTGTGTCGGTAATGTTATATATCTGCTCAAGTCATTTGAGATTGTTTTATTAATTGAAACTTATCTCAAGCTGGAAAACTTTACATGTTTAAAAGCTTTGTTGCACTTGTGTGCTGCTCTGTTTAGACATAAAAAATGGCTTCAGTATCGACGAAGCTGAAGTTGGTTTCTAAGTCCAACTTCCGATTCGGCAAATGGCGAAAGGGGGATTCCTCCTGGTTTTTCACTACCTTCCGCATCTTTAATCTACTCTAATTAAAAAAAAAAAAAACTACACCACATCGACACATCAAACTGGGACTGGATTATTCTGCTCTGGTAGCAGAATATTTAAAACCATGTTTGGGATTTGTGATTTTTTTTTCTGATTTATGAAACTTCAATAAAGAACAATTTGACATTTTTTCCAATCTCTGTCACACTAGGAACTGCTCTAATTACAAAACTACAACAGCTAGACTCTTCAAGCCTGGACTAGATTATCCTCAACTAAAAGCAGAATATTTACAATCATGTTTGGGGTTTGTGAAACTTTTTTCTGATTTGTGAAACTTCAATAAAGAGTGATTTCACCACTTTTTGTGGTTTTCTGTCATAATAGAAGTGCTCCAGCTCCAAAACTACAACACCTAAACACTTCAAACTTTGACTGGATTATTTTGCTCTAATAGCAGAATAATTCAATCCATGTTGGGGATTTGGGACACCTTTATTTGATTTGTGAAACTTCACTTCACAGGCGGCTGCAGAAGATCTTTAGTCATGTTGTCGTGTTAACAGACCGACTGAACAGAGTCGAAGAAGGCCAAAGAAACACACCATCATTTCTGGGTTGTAGGCTGTTGACGATGATCCTCTTATATACGGCCACAAACATTTATTCATATCATGTTCTCCTTTTGAGCCTGCAGGCAGTGACCAATTAAAAGTAAAGAAGAAGCCATGACTCACTGGCATAAAGAGCGACAAACGCACCTGTTTCCAAACACCAGCATGAAAACAAACTGGGTTAGTAAGGTCACAAAAGAATGGCACATCTGTAGATAATGTGACAAACAATTTCTGTCACCGTGAGGATTTTGGCAGAAGCGCCAGCCCTCCTTTTCTCTCTGTGCTTCAGATGAACAAAGAATGTCCCCAGTTGAACAGCAGTTGTGGCCTGGAGCTCTGCAGAGTACCTGTTTGGCAGCTCTGTGGGGACAACACAGAAGCAAATAAACAAAAAAGACGGAGCATTTTCCCCCTCGTGGCAGCTGTGATCAACTTTCAAGCTTTGTTCTCCAGACATGAATCCACAATTTAAGACAGAAAATCTCCTCTGGGCTGAAAGGCATGTAGGTGTTGTCCCAGGTTACTGTTTGTGAAATCGGAAAATCTGCACTTAATGCACCTTTTTTAAGTATCAGTCTATCACGTGACTGACAGATGAAAATATGTCACAGGTAATAACATTGTGCATGTCCACTGATGTTTATTTATTCATTTTTACATTTTTGTATTTATTTATCTAACCATATCATGAGTGATTGCAAGGAGGAGCTCATCATCAATGACAAACTTTTTAAAACCCAGAAAATCCAAAAAGCTGATCTGCAATTAGAAGATTTATATTTCTGAAAAGAGAAACAATTTTCACTTTGACATTTTATGGTGCAATGGAAATAAAAAGAGAAATTAATAAAAACAAAACAAAAAAAAAAAGAAACAAAGATTGCTCTTTCATAACGACTCATCTTCTGGAAGATGTGTCCATCACTTTCTATCAAAAACAAACTTTGCTGTATAAAAATAATTTAAAATCTTTTCAACATTTGTTACATATGGTGTCTTCTCTATAAGGATCTACTGTGTGTTTGAGGACTGAGATATACATGGAAGAAGGTTAAATTTGTCTCTGGTGTGTCATATTTGCATTGATTTGGTGATGTATTTTGAATCACAATTCTGCTAAAATGCAGACTCAATCAGATATTTTCTTACCTTATTGTGAAATCTCAATACAAACAGATGTGATGTACCTGAACAATGTTCCCTAGACTTTGAAAAAGGAAGGATGCCAGCATCACATATCTGTCATCATACCTAACAGTGAGCATGAGGTTCTTTTGATTTAT